GTGTGATTCTTTTTTAGATTTCTTTGTTCTTGAATCCATGAATTTACTGCTTTAGGATGTGTTTCGTGGAATTTTGAACACCATTTAATTTTGAAACGTCGAACAATTTTTCTGACGTTATAATCTTTGTATTCTGGAGGAGTTTGATTTTGAATTAAACGAAAATCCCAATAGAAAATCCACGAAACTTTGAGATTATGGGGAAATTGGAACAAATGATTTTCTTGAGGCTTCAAAAAAGATTTGCCTCACTTTTGAAGTGTTCGAATTCGTCAAGACCAAAAAATTCGAACCAATTTTGAAACCATTTTGGAAAGTTTGATGGGCAACTTTGATGAAAAAGTATAAACCAAAAATGTGTCACTAGTTTAAAAAAGAAAACATTGAACCACGCCTCTTCGTAGTCCAAGTAATTGAATTTTGACTCGAATGAATCTGTTTTTGAAATATTCATTTGCTTATCTTCCCAAGGGTGCAATCCCTAGTTTTCATAATACCAAACCCTTTGGATAGATACTTTTGAAAAATCAATGAATTTTAAAATTTTATTATTTGGATCCTGTTTTGATAAAGATTGCTTCATAATACTCATGAGATTTTTTTATGTTTGAAGGGAGAAAATGAAAGTTTGGGGAAAAAAAAAATCTTGAAGGTGTTCTTCAAGAGAAGATGTTCTTTGAGCCCATGATGTTTCCATTTCGAAAACAGAAGGTAAACAGGCTTTGTAAAATATGAAAATGATTTTGGAAGGTTAATATCTGGTAATTTTTCAGAACCAATTTGAAGGGCTTTGCGGTAATTTGAAGGTTTATTTTCTGGAATTGTTTGAGTGGGTTTTTGGAATATTTTTGAAGCAAATGATTGTATTTTGAGAACTAGATGGTGTTTCTTTTGATCCTCTCAAGGAATTTTGAATATAATCATCAATTGATGTAAGAGGAATTTGAACTTTCTTTTTGTTCTTCTTCTTTTCTGAAGAACTCATTTTGCACTCACTTCTTTGTGTATGAATTCTTTTGTAAGGAAATCTGCAAGAAAGTTTGAAAAACCTTATATATATATAGAATTTGAAAATCAAAGCA